GAATATTAAAAACCTTTAAAATACATAGAAATCAATAAAAGTGCCTAGCTTTCGTCGGCATCCGCTGACATCTTCAGGGCTTAGAATGCTGGTCAATGGGAAAGTCCCTTTATAGGTTTAATTAGGGCGTGTGCACGACTCTTCGATCTCGTCACTGGGCCGGTTATACTAGAATGTACTCCAAGCACCGAGTTCTTATATATATATATATATATTTATCAAATATATATATATATATATATATCAAATACTTTTTAATTGCTTTTAAATATTTTATCTCCTCTTGGTGATCGTGATTATTTCGACATAGTATGGACATACCCAAGAGTCGCATTTTTAGCTCTATTTCTAGCCATATCAAATATATATATATTGAAACTACAGTAACAATTTCTGCATATTGAAATGTATAAGCTTTTGACTTAACAAGAGCAGCTCTTATTTAAGAAGAAATAGTTTTATCATAATTTATTCAAAAGACCACTCATAATTTAATGATGCCAGCACCCAGTAAAATAAATAAAGTAAATATAACAATAAATATTAAATAAAACAATTTATCATTTCTTCCTCAGAACAGAAAATGCAAAGTCCATCTGTCACATTATGACAAGCTTGTTTTTAAATGCAAATACATTTTACATCCATGTAGAAAAAGTTGATTGATTGATATAAATCTCAAATTATATCAACAATAACCATACAGTTTTAAAATACAATAACACATGGCTTTTTTTATACAACAAAGGTCATGCTAACATTATCAAATAGTCTATAACCGAGTATTGATGTATGCCTTAATCTTCATTTGCTCCAGGCATCATATCAAACAACTTGTTCTTCATAGCTGTCACTAATCAGTTATTGTGCAGAATATAATAATCATGTGAACCAACTCATCAACTTAACCACTGATAAGGTACTCATTGGGACATTCCCATCACCTAAAATGTTTATGCAATGTAGCTTTCCAATAATCCTCTTTTCTTTCTTTTCTTTAAGTTTTCTATCTCCCTATTGCCCAACTACAGCTGTTCAGGGAATCACTATGATTAAATCATGTAATTGTTGTTTGTTGTAATGTTCTACAATATGTAAATGCTTTAACTTCTTGTGTAGTACTGTTGATTTTTATTAGTTTATAGCAACTTGAATTTAGTTACTTAGAAACTGGATTGGAACCTGTTAATGTCTTTCAAATATATTATGGTTGGTCACACAGTCAGCCAGTTGTTTAGACTGTGTTTGGCATCAAGTCCTTCCCAAGGACCTAGGATAGGCAAATGTTGTTTGATGGTGTTAAAGCTATCATCACAGACTGTAAGCTTTCTCCAAGCTGACTTTCATAATTGACTGATTATGATTTTGCAAAGGCCAATGATATTTAAGTGGTGCTCCAGAAGTTTTTGGGTTTGTACCCAAGGGATCTATTAATATTTTTGCTTTCTTTTGCCACAATCATTCTATTTATATTTGCAGGCTTTCGTATCTTGTGATTTCCCCCCCAGTTCTTCCTCCTCTATTCTGCTGTTTCAGGTACTGCAACTTCCACTACCCAGACTTTTTTGTCTTTCTTATCAATAGTTGTTAGGTCTGGGGTGTTATACGGCAGGTGCTTTATTATTATTCTAAATTATGCATGTTCAGTGTTCATTAGCATTGTTTACCAATGGTAAATATTGACTCCCTGCTTTAAAATCAGATATTCAATGTATGGAAGGTCAAATTGCATATTTTATTCCTTTGTAATTTGACACAAATATAAATCTCATCCATATTAGTGAACTTTGATAAATATCCCAATGTGGCAGACTATGCTTTTACTTTTGTGCTTTTGATTTTCCATCTGTTGTTCATTATATTATAGAATAGTTATTATTTTATATTAACAAAGGTTCAGAACTTCAAATTAACCACAGGAGAAATATCTTCACTATCATTTCTTTGTAACAGTCTTCCTTTACAGGCCTTTAGAGAGTGGCTTATGTATCATATCAAGTCTTTATAGCAGTCATAGACCAGCATAATGACCTAACATATTTAACAAGCCATTGGTCCTATTAATAGGCCAGGATTCCTTTTGCAATGTCAACTGTAACAGTAATCCTTGTTTCAAATCACAGAGTTTCAAATATCAGCTGCCACTACACAGACTGCTCCCTTTCAGTTTATATCAGAGAACCCAATGGAGTCTTTTGAAGAACCTGGTTATATTGGTAGGGAGAACTTATTAGAAGTTCCTACTTTAAGTGATTGTTTTTCTGAAGAAGAAGATGTTAAAGCTACACATCAGCATCGTTTCTCCCCTGGTCCCCGAAGGCGGAATTCAGATTCTTCTGAAGAAATGGAAACAGAAATCCCCTCAACTATTGCAAGAAAAGTTTCATTTGCTGATGCATTTGGTTTTGATCTTGTATCTGTTAAGGAGTTTGATAGCTGGGATAATCCAATTACACAGGCCAGTGATGATTTAGAAGATGAAGATGTGCCTGTGGAAGAATTCTATTTAACTCCACTGTTTCTAATTCCCACCACACAAGAGGAACTTTTGCAATCTGTGCGTGCACATAAAATATGTCTAGAATTTGTAGAGTTTCTTCCAGGCATAATATGTATGAAGGGCATAATTCGTGTTCTGAATATATCCTTTCAGAAGTTGGTCTATGTTCGAATGTCTTTGGACAACTGGCTAACCTATTATGACATCTTAGCAGAATATGTGCCAGATTCTTGTGATGGTGAGACTGACCAATTCTTATTCAAGATTTCATTGGTTCCTCCTTATCAAAAAGAAGGTGCTAAAGTTGAATTTTGCATACGATATGAGACATCTGTGGGAATATTTTGGTCAAACAATAACAATAAAAATTATATTTTGATTTGCCATAAAAAGGGAACTGCATCATCATTGGAGGATAATAGTCTTCAAGAAGTTACAAATAAACATATCAAAGGCTGCTTAAAGACAACACTGAACAGGTGAGATGCTTACTGATTTATTGTAAAACTCTGATTTATAGTTTCCTATATTGTGATACACTAAATAAAATGTGATGAAGATATACATACATATATGCAAAGAAACAGTTGAGTATAGAATATTACAGTGCTGATTTTCAAAATAGTATGAAAACTTATATAAGTAAATTTAAACAGATAAAACATCTCATTAATGACGCTATGAAGTTAAGAATATAGAAACTATGGGAACATTTGAAGAAATTTGGTTATGTTAATTTATCCATTCACAGCTCCTGGCTCTTTACCCCAACTGTGTGACCTGCAAACCATGTGGTTGCAATTTGTTTACAGTTAAATGTGAAATCCAAACTCAGAACAAGGAATATTTCTGGCCAGATCCTACTAAAGAATCTAATGACACCATTTAGGAAAAGGAGCCAATGGCAAAGCAAGTCCATTTTGACTAATTAGATGTTTTAGTTAACCAGATGTGTAAACCCAAGATATGCACAGTGATCTTCTGTGATCTGCATCCTGACTTTCTGAATTAAGCAGATGAGTATAAAGGAGATTGTAAATATGGCCAATGAAATGCAGTTACAGTTTTCTGATGACTGAGTACCTGAACTTCAGAAGGTTCCTTATCAAGAAGAGAATTCTGTTACATGCAAACACTGTTCTTAAATTGATATTTCCCTTCAATTAGGGAGGTTGATGGGTGGAATAGCTAGTCTAACAGTGTTGCTAGCAACTTCTCTTCATTTAGATTTTTCTTCACACCAGAAGAAAATCTCTGTTTAGGCTCTACTTTCATTCCAGAGAATTATCATTCATTGAAAAAACTGAGTTGCAAACTTACATTATTTCTATATAGTTCCCATATTCAAATTAGCTTACATATACATTCAAAATATTTGAAATATTTTAAAAGATTCAGATTACTTTAACATTTCTCTGATAATCAGATCCTCATTAACTGGTTAGTCTGATCCAGGCTAGGTGACTCTCCCTTCTCCCTATCAGACTGTTGTGGTCAGGAAAGCTCCATTTCATATACAGTTTCCAGGTTATATCTGTTCAGTTTTATTTCAAGACTACATTGACAATATCTAGGAGAGATCGCATTCTTCAAGTTCCAAATTTGTCAGGATATTCCACAATTTGTTCATTTGTTCAAATACAATAATTTTATATTTATGATTTTAAGCTTTAGTATTGGACACATTTGCAGAAATAAGAAATTATTCTAAAAATATTCTTAATTGACAGAAATTTATGATACAAATACGTTTATATAATGCATTACTAATAATATCAGGATGCATTGGAGGATTCTCAGCCTACAATTCATGTAGGCTGAGAACCATAAATGAGCACATCTCACATGTTTACATATCTAGACACAACAGTTACTCAAAAGTGATCTCAGTGCAGCTGAAATTACTAAAGAGAGAGGTTTAAAGCCATCCTTACCCTAACACTATAATCCTTTGCATTCTTTCTTTCTACCTCTTGACTTACGAGTTTTGCATCTATATCTATCTATTTCTAAGATACAAACCAAGGCAAAAGCGAGGCTCAGAAGCACTGTGTCTGTCCCTGAGAGGTTTTATATTTGCTGAACTGTTGAAAGAAAAACCATCAGGTCCAGTCCAAGCTGGGAATAAATAAAATGGAGGCTGTTTGGAAAGAAGGTTCTTGTTAATTTAGTTGCCAGAAACTTCAGTGACATAGCATATTTCTAGGGTGGCTGACAAAATGGAGCTGGGAGTGGATGGGTTTTTATACCTTCTTGGGGTTTTGTGTTTGGAGTTGTTCCTGTTCCTGTGCAATGTACTTTGACCTGACCTTGAGTGTGCCCTTTTGGTATTCTAATCGTGGTGAGTTAATGCTATTATGTCCTAAAGGTCATGTTCCTGTCCTTGGAGTCTTTGTTTTTCTAATCCCCTCAGTTCCAGCCTTCTGTGGGGGCTGCTGTTGAAGGTGTTTTGCTTATGAATGGTGTGGCCCAGTCTTTCTGAATAGGATTGCCTAATCTGCATTTCTAAAGAGCTGCTCAATTTCTGCTTGGAGGAAAGGGAGACTGGTTTCTGCTTTTTAAGATTTTCTTCCAGCTTCCAGTTTGCGATTGCAGTGCCGGCGGACGTGCGGAGAGACCGCTCTCTCCGCCATCCAGTTTTCCTCAGTCGGAAGACCCTGGAAAGGGTCGAAAGTTGCCCTGGAGGGGCGACTACCGCTGAGGAGGACCCTTGACAGATTGCGGAAGGGCGGCAGCCCTTCCGTTTGATCTGAGGCAACTCCTTTGGGCTGATGAAGAAAAGATCGGCCATTAACATGGCCGATCACCAAGCCGCTCCAGCCAAAAACCAAAGCACTACTAAGCACGACAAAAGCAACGTGGAGGAATTGGGTGAGACCTTACTTTACCTTTCCTGCTTCCCAACTACTTTCCTGTAAAAGCCTTTGGAAATACTTTTTTCCCCCCTCTTAATTCTGCAGCTCCTGTGTACTCTGGGAATATAAAGCTAAGGGGAAAAAAAGAACAACTAAACTAAACGACTAAATATTTGGACTTGTAATTTCTGGATACCTGGGCTCCCAAAAGGTTTTTTTATTCTTACAGAGACTTATTATTTTACCTATTTGCTAAGCTGGAAAAAAAATAATATTTCTTTCTTCCTTTTTTAAACTGGATAAAAGCTTAACTTCATATGTTACTGGGGACATCTTCTGGCGAAATTTGATACAGCAAGTGATTTTTTTTTCTGATTGGGAGACTTGTGAGACTAAGATTTGTCCTTGACACTACCAAAAAAGATAAGAACTTGAAACAGCTGGGTGGTGAAAATAATTCTCTATAGTGGAGGTGGACCTTTATTGACTTTTATTAAAAATAGCGTCCACTAAAGGACTATCTGTAAACACCATAGAAATGGAGGAATACCACCCACAGCTTAACTACAAACTTATACTTGAAAAAATCCTAGAGGCTACTGAGCTAATAAATTCCAGACTGAAAGATAAAGGCGCCGCCTTAAAGCTACAAAATGCAGCCCAGACTTCAACTGATAACTTACAACTCAAAAGGCAACAGAAGAAGAAGGAATGAACACTAACGTGGATTTTAAAGAATACCAACCTACTCAGAACCCTGATATCCAAACCTTGATTTCATCTAAAAAATCTGCAATTCCAACAGCAACAGAAACTGAAGAAAGCAACACTAAGATGGAAGGTGCTGAAGACTTACATACACAGTACACTGAGAATTTAGATAACCCAGACGACCAAATAACAACTACAACATTGAATATGACTTTTTATTTAAACCAGCTGAAACCAGAAGAAGAAGAAGAAGACCAGCCTGAATTCATGACAAATATACTAAGCCAAATATGGAGACTCAAACTATCAGGCCAACAATCTAATGACTATGAAGGGACTAGCTTCCTTGACAAGTTGATAACTGGATGGTCTCCCTTGATTCAAATGACATATGCAGGAATAAAGGGAGATCCATCCGAGGATTTAAAGGCTCTGCTATGGAAACCTGTTTGGCACAAAAGGAAGGCCAGAGTTAGACTTAAAAAATGGTTTTCTTTATGTGACCTTTAATGGAAGAGCCTAAAATTTCATTTAATGGGCTAAGGAGATTTTAAAAGACATTAATTGATTTAATATTTAGGATTTAGACCTATAAGGGAAATAAATTAGTTACTAGAATAATAGTTTTGAATTATAATATAGAAGATGAATTCAGATGATAAAGGTTATTTTATTAGTAAGTGATGATATTAGGATGAGAAGTAGAATATGATTGTGAAATAAAGTAAGAATTTATCTGAATAAATAATAAGTTTGTAATGAACTAAGGGAACCGTGGGCTATCTGAAACCTAAATACTATGGACATTAAGCCAACTGGAAAACTGTAACTGAAATCAGATAAAAGTTAAAAACAGGATATAATACTAATACTAATACTAATACTAAAGTTGGAAAGGACCTTGGAGGTCATCTAGTCCAACCCCCTGCTCAGGCATGAAACCCTATACCATTTCAGACAAATGGCTGTCCAGTCTCTTCTTAAAAACTTCCAGTGTTGGAGCATTCACCACTTTAGAGGCAGGTTGTTCCACTCGTTAATTGTTCTAACTGTCAGGAAGTTTCTCCTTAGTTCTAGGTTGTTTCTCTCCTTGATTAGTTTCCATCCATTGCTTCTTGTCCTGCCTTCAGGCGCTTTGGAAAATAGCTTCACTCCCTCTTCTTTGTGGCAGCCACTGAGATATTGAAACACTGCTATCGTGTCCCCCCTCATCCTTCTCTTCATTAAACTAGACATATCTAATTCCAGCAGCCGTTCCTTATATGCTTTAGCCTCCAGTCCCCTAATCATCTTTGTTGCTCTTCTCTGTACTCTTTCTAGAGTCTCAACATCTTTTTTACATTGTGGTGACCAAAACTGGATGCAGTATTCCAAGTGGCCTTACCAAGGCATTGTAAAGTGGTATTAATACTTCACGTGATCTTGATTCTATCCCTCTGTTAATGCAGCCTAGCACTGTGTTGGCCTTTTTGGCAGCTGCAACACACTGCTGGCTCATATTTAAGTGATTGTCCACTAGGACTCCAAGGGCCCTCTCACAGTTACTAATATTGAGCAAGGTACCCCCTATACTATACCTGTACATTTAGTTTTTCTTGCCTAAATGTAGAACCTTACTTTTTTCACCATTGAATTTCATTTTGTTAGATAGTGTTAAGTCCGGAGAATAATGGCGCTTGAGACGAAGCCTCTCCAACAAGTCTTTATTGTTTGCTTCCATTCTACGAACAACCAGAGCAGAGGCACGCAGGCCTCTATTTATACCCTCTGAACCCCGGGCAAGTTCAACCAATCATGAGGCGGGCTTTTCCCACCTTGCGCATGCGCACAAGGCCGGCGCCGCTCAGTCTGGTCCCGGGCAGCTTCTGCAAATGCCCGGGACTCTTGCAACGTCCCGAGCCTGCCTCTTGCAG